AAGCTAAAATACAAAGGTTTGGACACCGTTTTGCATGTTTCCCTACTGTAGGGGTCTCTGCAAGCATACAGGGCTCTGAGAGGGTGCAAGATGACAAGTATGGAATTCTACTAGAAACAGTCGATCATATTTGTTTGTCAAAGCTGAATCCAAGACAAACTACGCTAAATTAGCGTTTTTAGCTAACAGCTACAATAAGCATAAAAGTTACTGTACAGCTATCATTTGTTAACATGACGCTTGTTCTTATACATGTAATACATTTATTACCAACCTGAGAGTTTATCCGCTGGTCATTCGACATGACAAATGACTTCTGAAGTCTTAATTCAGCTCAAGACGCTGTAGATTCCAGTCAGTAACACTTTCAGTCCGCTAGTAAAACGTAGTTCTATTAATCTGCGCTCGACTACTCTTGAACCGGAACCGGATGTAAGTCCCAAAAAGATGAATTTTGGAACTGAAACTGAATTGTAGAACTGAAACTGAATGGTGAGAAGTGAAACTGAAATTATTTAAGAGCTAATTTTTTAAAGGATAAAATACAGTTTCAAAGCAAATGAATTCATTTTCAAAATATAAAATTCAATTTCAATTTAGTGATGATCATTTTCAAACCAATAAATTGAATTTAAAATTAGGCTAATTCATATTCATTTTGTAAAAGCATTTATTCAAGTTACAATTCAGATTCAATCCGAGCAATTCAAATTCGAATTTAACTTATTCAAATTCAGTTTCTGATGGCACAGATTTCTGCCCGTAGAAAAGCTAGTGCTGATCCAGTTTTGCTATATAAGCTATGAAAATATGTTCAAAATAACAATCTTTGATTCTGCTTTTGGTGAAAATGGTTACTTGTAAAAACATTCTCTGTGTCTCCAGTTCACTTTAAGTCTACAGAGCTTTACAGATAGCCTTCCATACAGTCTGTGGAAAGTAGCAGATATAAAGTTACGTCACTCCAAAATGAATGTTCCCTTTTGAACAGTAGATTTAACCGCTGTTTAATCTGCTGTATTAACATGTTTCCGGGTATTTTACTCTTCTTCTATTTGGATTCAGTGGTGTGGTCGTTGTATTCAGTTGGCATGCCAGAAAGTGTCAGGATATATATAAACCACAGAACCATTTTACCTTGTGACATGTTCATACCTTTAAAAAAAAAGCTGAGCACTTATCGCATGTGAACTTTAGTTCTGAGCTGTCCTTGTTTGAGCTGCAGGTGTTGCAGACACATTTGACAGATTGCTCAGTGGAACAGAGTTATTTTCAAACATATTTCTTATATTTCACAGGTCTGAAGTTTTCAAGTTTTTCAACACCTGCAGGTGCTGCAACGACTCACATTGTTGTCCATTATTTCATGTCCAATGTCGACTGGTAGGACCTTGTGCTTCTTTCAAGTTCCACCCCTGCTTATCCGTCCTTTACGGATGAGAACGGTGATTTCTCAAGGTTTATCCTTGGCACACAGTGGCACTGTGTACCCACACTTCTCCTTAAACACAAATTGATTTCACACTTAAATCTTCACGGTATAAATCGCAGACCCTCCACCTGCTCCCCACTATAACTGTCTCCTTCTCTTTTTCCTTACATCTCATTTAACCTGCTCTCCTCCACCAAATCTTCCATTACATCCTCCCTGGCTCATGTGTAGACACACACCTGTGATCCTGAGGTGTGTCATGACCGAATGACCAGGGATACTATAAGGAAGGAAATATAAGGAAAGAATGCTAAGAGACGATGAGTGAAACAGTGAAGGCCGGAGGCATCTGCTGGGTGTTACAGGGCAGTTTCTAGAAAGGCTGTGCGTAGGAAAATTGAGGAGCTATTTTCATGCCACATTAAGTTACACCAGCCTTCCACTACAGGACTTTGCTCAGACAGAGGAGGCTTGCCTCTATTGTGAAGGCTAATAATCAGCGCAATGGAGTTATTACCCAGCACTACATTTCACAGGCCTAACCTAGACAGCATCAAAGAAGGGGAAGAGAGGGAACGTGGGAGGAGGACTAGACATGAATTCCAATGGATTGTAACAAACGCTGCTACCTCCAGCCCAGCCCAGCCTCATTCATTTTATATGCTTCAAGTTCAGCTCAATACAAATTGATATCTGGGTGAATGGGATGAAAGTACTAGGGGTAATGCAAAAATGGCAAAACACAAAACGGGAATTTAATTCCATTACTGCATCTTTGATGTCTGTCCAGTGTCAACAGTGTAACAACAGAGGCTGGTGCTTGTAGGAGCCCCTGCATCTTCATACATCTTTCCATTATTAACACCACTCTAAGCACATTCCACTGCTGTCAGTCTGGGGCAACATCACAGTGAAATATTAAGCCCCCTGCCGTGCCTATCACTGCTCCGCTGTGTAAGTACATTAACTGTACAGCATTTGAAAGGGTCATAATCAGCCAAAGAGTGAAAAGGACTGACATGCAAAGCATTATCATACATGTTCCCACGCAGCAGTCAGTCAAGTTCCCAGTGAATATGTTTGTGTGAGCAGATGATGGTATCAAGATTTTAACAGTGTTGTTTGTCAGGGCCAACAGTAGCAAATGAATTTGAATTTATTGACTTTTTGAATTTATTGTGTTTTGTCGCTGTTGTCTGTGGACCTCTTCCTAAAATACCATAAATTTATTATGTCACTAAAAGATAAATGAAATACCTCCGAATTAATTTGCACCAACTCGGTAATGTTCGCTCCTGATGTACAGAAGTGGAAATATGCTAATGTTGGTGCTTTGTAAATTTAATTAATACTGAGTTTGTGGCATGCAATGTCACAATCTCAATGTGCACTCTTACTATTTTTCTCTCAGATTCATTTAAAATTATAACCTTAAAAACACGTCAGTACCATTTACTATTCAACAAAAAGAATTGTAGCAAAACTTACCATTAATGTCATACTGTTGCTTTATATTCAGAATTTGCGCTATACTGGCAACATAATTACATTTTAAGACCCCTATCAAACTTAAATATTGTCTACAAACCATTTGTAAATAGATTACGAATTAAGCAATATAGTGACTCGAGCTATCAGGCTCACATAGAGTAAAATACACCATTAAATACCAATAAAGCCTAATTTCAGTTTATTGATATATTTTCTTTATATTTGGCTGTTGTTGGTCTATTTATCAGGCTAAGAGAATCCCACAGTGAAGCAAGTCAGTATGCGCTGAGAAATAATGGCCATTTCAGTGCAAGAAAATATTAATTAAAAAAATCTAATTAAATTGTAAAGCCGTGGGAGGCTTGCAGTGCTTGTTACTTTTCATGAGTTTTTTTTGCCTCTCACAAACTTAGCACAACCTGGTGTGTTTCCCTTTGTCTTAAGGTGAGATAAACTGATATATTCCTATTCTTCTGAAATAAATCTCTCCTTTTTGCCTTCAGAACTGCCTTAATTCGTCTTGTCAGAGTTTCAACATTGCTGTGAAACATTGCTCACAGATTTTCGTCCACGTTGACATGATGACGTGAATCTCCCATTCCACCACATCTCAAAGGTGCTCTGTTGGATTGAGATCTGGTGACTGTGGAGGCTATTTGAGTACAATGAAGTCATTATCATGCTCAAGAAACTAGTTTGAGATTATTTGAGCGTTGTGACATGTTGTCCTGCTAAAAGTGCAACCAGACAATGAGTCCACTGTGGTCATCATGGGATCGACACGGTAAGCAGCAATACTCAGAGAGGCTATGGTGCGTAAACAATGCTCAGTTGGTACTAAGTGTTCCCATGACTTTACCACCACCAGCAGCTTCGACTGCTGATACAAGGCAGGATGGATGCTTTCATGGTGCCGCAGCAGACTCAGACCAGGGAATGTTTGTGTGACTTGTACCTTTAGTGTCCGTTTCTCAACGCTACAACCCACCTGGCTCAATGTTCAGTACATTGTGTACTCATGTTGTAATGAGTGATTATTGTTGTTACTGTTGCCTTCCAACCAGCTTGAAGCAGTAGGACCTCTTCCATCAGCATCAGCACTTTTGTCCAGAGAACTGCCGCTCACTTGATATTTTCTCTCTCTTTTTTGGAGCCATTCTCTGTAACTCTAGAGATGGTTGTGCAGGAAAATCCCAGCAGACCAGCAGTTTGTGAAACACTCAGACTAGGCTGTCTGGCACCAGCATTCAGGCCATATTCAATGTCGCTTTAATCGCCTTTCCACTCCATTCTGATGTGCAGTTTTAACTTCAGCAGGTCATCTCGACTGTGTCTACATGCCTGAATGCACTGAGTTGCTGGCATGTGATTGGCCGATTAGATATATGCGTTAGAGAGCATTTGAACAGACGTACCTAACGAAGAGCCGGGTGAGTGTTTATCACTTATAGTACAATACACTGCAAATACACAGGAACAATAACTTTGTTAAACTGAATAGTAGAAGTTTTGCTTTGATGTTATTTGTGCATTAGAGCTATTAAAAGCAAATATTGGATAGTCAAATCCAAATAGACATTTAAAATGCCCACAGTGGTAAATATATACATAGAATTACAGTTTTAATAATAAACAGATATTAATGTTACTGTACATTTTCCCCTTGCCAATTTATATATTTACAGTATTTAAAATCTCCAAAAAGGTATTTGTTCTGTAATAATCATCCCATCTCACTTGACTTAATATGTAATGAATTTAAGTACTTGCTGTTTATATTTATTTATTTTATGAGAGCAGATTTTAAAGGCTGCCTCAGATACCACAGAAGGAACACAGGAAGGAAGATATTCCTACATTCTGCTATTACATCTTCAAAGGCACCTGAAGCCCTTTTGAACAAAATACAGACTGAAGAAAATCACACAAGAATGTGAATTAAACAAAAACACATCAAAGTGTGTCAGCTTAACCCACACATGCACCACATGAGCACTTTTGCCTTGTGAGAAAAATATATCTAATGCACATTTCTGTGAAAAGAAAAAAAAAATCATCAAGAGGATCGGAGACCGTGTTGTTTGATTGCAAAGAGTCTTTATTTTTTCCTTGTGTTCAAGTACGGTCCTCTCTCAGCAGGGTCATCTAAGAAGCATGGACACACAACACACAACTCGCACCAGAGCCTGAGCATCTTCAGGTGGGATTTCTCTTTTTGTCTCGACTGGGGTGGGGGGGTCCCGATCAGCAGTTTCCATGTTTAGGTCAAGTGAACAAGAGTCCTGTTGTACACCACATAATTGTTTTCTCTGCGAACATTTGTTGCATTTAGTGACACTGACATCAGCACATAAAAATTATATATATATTTATATATATATATTTATATTCATATTCATATATTTATAGATTTGTCATTCTATATCAACAATTCCTTCTAGTGATTTTTTCCTTGGTTTTTCATGTTGTAAAACTGGACAAACTGTCGGTAGGAATGCCTTGTTTGGACATTGATTTGTACAGGAACGCTCAGACACATACACGCAACAGAGGCATACGCACACTACTACACACATGCATGCATAGATACGCTCGCTCAAGTTTACGTGTACACACAGGCCACACATTCTGTCACATACATGCACATGTACACAAACACACGCGTGCGCACACACGTCAACCCCCCCGCCCACACACACATCCGCATACACACCCACATGTGCTCAGCCAACACGGAGAGGCAGGTCTGTACATCTACGGGAGAGAGACATTACCCATGATTCCCAGCAATAAGTACAGCTTCACCTGATCAAAAACACAAGAAAATAAAAGTTACAAACAGCAGAGTGAGTCGGCCAGTCTACGTCGTCTGTAAACGTCGACAAAAATTTCCTTTTAAAGTCCTCTTGGACTGGTCCACTGTGTGTCAAAGTTTGGCACAAGACCTTTCTCTCTCGTCTTCCTTTGTCTCTACTGTACACTGAGATGTACAATACTGGCGGCTTTCACTGATGTGAAAAAAAAAACTTGAAACAGTTTGGGTTTTTTTTATGCAGAGGTGATGATGACAAACCACTAAAAGTTGACATTGTCAAACATGTCAGATTCCCCAAAGTGAAAAGACAAACCTTTCCAAAGACAGAGAGTGTGCTTTAAACATACACATATAATCTTTAGGCAGTGAAAAAGCACTTTAGTTGACGGGGACTCTGGAACAATGCTGCTCTGCCAAACTGATGCTTTGGCAGCTTTGAACTGCTCTTTACTGTGTCCATGACAAAATTCACTCGACGGAGAGAGAAAAACACAAATATCGCAGTGCTTCCTCTCTTCCTGGGAAAGGAAAGGGGGGCCAAAACAAAAGTGTCTGCTGACACCCATCCTGATGATGTCTGTCAGGTCTGATTCTCGTGTTCACATTTCGCTTATTTTTTGTTGCTTTTGATGTTTCAGTCAGCAGTCAGTCATGGAAAATAAATTATGTTTGTATAAGTGGCCCATCAAAAACGTGTAATATACACACTATATCACCTTTTACTGTACACAGAAAATAAAAAGTTTCTTTTTGTTTTGCTGAAAGTGAAAATTTAGAAAAGTACAAATAAAAAAGATGTAAAAGAATGACGACAAAAAAAGAAGTCTCTTGAAGATGACATTCCTTGAACGCAAATTCAGAAGCCTCTGGAGGCGGCAAGGCCATTGCAACAAAAAAGGGGGATAAAAGCAGTGCTACGTTTGTCACTTGGGTGAAATGGTAAACATCCACTTCTTGCTTGTTGCCTGATGTGCTTTCATCTTTTTCTGTGCTTTTATTCTTCCTGACCTCTTCAAGAACCCTCATGCCATCTTTGTCTCTCATCTCCTCCTTAGGTCAGACAGCTCTTTGCTCCTACAGAGTAAGAACGCTCCCTCAACTGCTGCTTATTTCTTTATCCTAGCGCCCTCTTCTTCTCTCTTGACATCTGCATACTCTATCCGCCTGGTCATTTTCTCTCTTTTTATATTCTGTTTCCTACTCTTAGTTCAAACTGTCAAACACACTTTGTCATATCTACTTCCACTAGCTCCACTCACTGGTGAAATGGAGCTGACTTTAAAGAAATAAACTGGTCTGGAAAAAAAAGTTCACATGCACATGCAGTCTCTCTTTGTTGCTCGACCTGACTTTACTTCCTATCCCCATCCAGCTCTGCTATCCCACTTATTTTAGAGAACATAAATTTCCTGCCACTGGCTACAAGATCGCTTTCAAAATACCACGTATAATCACTGCTGATGTCTTGCAAAAATAATCCCTTTCACACAAGCACACACAGACTCTTTCTTGCCCCCCAACACTGTAGTCTAACTAGACCCAGGAGTCAGGTGAGGCCGGATAGTGGCTGGTCTCGTAGTTTAGTTCGCTGTATGGCCGAGAGGCCGAGTAGAAGTCTACGTAGTTGCCGGTTGATTTGAGGCCCAGATGCATGCGCAGATCTTCCCGCGGGTCCCTGGGTGGTCCGGTGGAGATTGGAGGTTGCTGGGGTGGGGCCTGAGGCTGGGCCTGAGCCTGGATCGGTGGCTGTGGCTGGGGTGGCGGAGGTGGCGGTGGTCCTTGGTCCTCGTAGTAGGCCTCGTCAAAGCTCCGGCTCTGGCTGTGAGGTGGAGGCTGCGGTGGCTGAGGCTGGGGGAAGGAGGGAGGGGGAGGGTAGGGGTCGTAGTCTTTTAGCACGGCTGCTGACGGACTGTCCAGCTGGGGCTGAGGGGGCACGACGCAGGGCTGGGCTGGACCCTGGCGGGGAGTGGTTGAAGTGAAAGAGTGGTAGGTGGGGGGGTGAGGTGCAGCAAGGAAAAGAATGGAGAGTCAAAGACATGTGGGTAACGGGAGGAAAGGTGGGAGTGGAAGAAAAGGGAAGAGAGATAAAGAGGGAGCGATGGAAAGGAGAGTGACAGGTAAGAGTGAACACAAGGGACAAAAGGTTTTGAAAGGCAGGCTGTATGGGTAAAGAGCTCAGAAAGGAATCAGTGGGGAAGGGGTTCATGCTGTGAATTCTCTATTACATGCAGGCGTTGAAGGCGGCAATGCATCTCTAACACTATAACACTATAACTCGCACAGGCCAGTTGTGTGCGTGTGTCTGTGTGTGTGAGCGCACGCGTGTGCAGCCGCGTGAGGAAAACGTGTTTACATGTTTAACTGCCAGTGTTAAAAGTTCGTACCCGTACAAATGAACTTATACTTTAATTAGAAACTTATAAGTGATGAAGAAATCGGGCCAAAATTTCAAAGTCAATGGCTCTGATGCCTTTTATTTCCCTTCCCTCGGTACCAGCAGAGTCATTTACCAAGAGCAAATAATTAGTGCAATCAACTGAGGTAATGACTTTAATTGCCAGTCGGGTGTGGTTTCAGGTTGCAGTCGTTTGATACTGCTTGAGCTGAGGGTGTGCCTCCATCGCACACTCTGCCAGCACATCTCTTATCACACTGGGACACCTTTTGTGTGCATATATTTGTGCGTTTTCTATCCTGCTGCTATCTCTGTTAAAAAACCCCTGAAATGCATGCACTGCTAAAACGCTGTGGTGGTGTATTGCTACATATGCATACAGAAAAGTAGATTCACAGAGCAGCATTAACTCACCTGGTTTTGCTTGATATCATCGCTGGCAGTCAGGTAAGAGTTTCGGAACAGTGTAGATGTCCCACAGGAAATTTGAACTTGATGGATAAAATAAAAATAAAAATTATACCACTTTTTCAATTAATGACAAAAATAGCTACTAATAATACCTATCAGATATCTGACAATAACTTATGAGAGTTTCAAAGCTTCTTAGTGTGCTACTTGTCACATAAAGAATTTATCATAAGAGAAAGAGATGGAAAAAATAGAAAACATTAAAAAATAGAAAATAAATAAATAGACATAAAGGGAGCGTGGAAGCTAATAGAGTGAAGAGATAACAAGAAGGCACGGGAAGAAAGAAACTGGAAAGGAAGACAGGAGAAGATTGAGAAGAATCAAAGTGTGTGAGAAGAGAAATGGTGTGAAGCTGAAAAAAGGCAGATAAGTGAAAGAGGAAATAGGGAATGAATATAGAGGAGAAGGAAAGATAAAGAGGGGGATAAAATAGAATCATTTAATTCATCTCCATCACACACACATACACACACCTGCCATGCCGTCTTTCCGGGATGTGTGCTCTCCTTTGTTGCTATGGAAACCGGCGTTGGTTGCCGTGGAATCGTAGTCCATCTTGCGTTCCTTCAGACTCATCATCTCTCTGGGGGAGGCTGGGGCGCTCGCTACACACACACACACACACACGCGCGCGCACACACACAAAATAATGAGCAATAAACCCAGAACAGCATGAGCCTTCACACTCTGCGTGCTTACACTGGTGTGTCTGTGCGTCTTGGTCTTTTTCAAGGTGCACAGTCATTATTCATCATTTAACTTGTCAGCAGAAAGGGTCACCTCCAGCATGTTAGACGACTTCTGGGAATTCTCACACACAAACGCACACAAACATACACATGGACGCTTTGGACAGTTTACTTAATAGTTTTATGTCTTTTCTTCTCTTCTTTATGTGTTTAAAGTTCATGTTAAATATCCAGCTATCTAACAAGCCAACAAGTCAGATCAACTTTGCTTGTAGTGCATTACAAAAGTGACCATTGATCATTACACCCTCGCACAAACAGGTCTTGTATTTCTTTAATTTTCTTGGTGCCTCAACTTAAACAATCTCCATGACTGGCTGCAAAATCTTGCACATAACAACAAAATAAATGGAGGTGCTAGTACCATCGAATGCATGCACAAGTCCATGCCATGCTAAAAGCATTACATTTAAAAGACAGCAGTGATTAATCTGACTGATCAAAGATTGCCAAATCATAGTTATATACTGCAGTGCAGTTTTCAGCAGTTTTAATGAGATTAAGTACATGTTTACTGACAGCACTCACCGTGTTCCCTGTATGCTTTTAAACATTTTAATCGCATTTTAAACGGGATGTTATTTAACCCGATTAAATGGACACTGTTCTAACAGTTTTTCATGCAAAACATAACAACAGTTAAATTGTTATTGCCTTTTTGTGCTTGTGTACTAAGTAGTATTAATGAACTCAATTGCAGCAGTGTTAAAATACTGAAACTAAATGGAGGAGTTTAGCTGCTAGTTTATTGGTTATCGTGACAACAAAGACATTTATGAGTGGCCTCATGCCAATATGCAGTCCTATTTGTGTGTTTTCCAACTCTGCTGCACTGCTAACTTCACAGTAGAGCTATGCTTTCTTTGGAGATACTATCAAGTTTCAAACCTATTTAGGATCTCCACACCTCCACACATAATGTTTCTGTTTGTGACTGTGTGGATTTGGACAATTATGCATGTGTACATATCTGTCCAAAGACATGCAGTTTGTGGGGATAGGTTAATTGGCCATAGGTGTAAATGTGGGAGTGAATGTGAGCGTGAATGGTTGTCTGTCTCTGTGTTGGCCCTGCGACAGACTGGCGACCTGTCCAGGGTGTACCCCGCTTCTCGCCCTATGACAGCTGGGATAGGCTCCAGCGCCGCCGCGATCCTGAAAAGGATAAGCGGAAGCAAATGGATGGATGGATGGATGCATGCATGCGTGCAGGCGATGACAAACATGGCCCTCATATTGTAGAAATACTGATAATGTCCCAATTTTCTTTTTTAAACACACACATGCAAACTTTTAGCCCATCGCAAGGTAATCCCGTTATAGCATACTTTAAGTGCTTACTCACCACCTCCTATCATAACACTGGACTGCCATAATCCTGCCCACCTGTTTCAGATTGCCTATATAAAGATTCTTATAACTAACTCAATGTTTACATACCAACCCAGTATCACGGCAAAGCGTGTAATAGACACGCCGCTCCACTCTGTTCATTTCACGCTTTGCTGGGATACTGGGTTGTACACACATACAGTATACTCCAGGAAATGTGAGTACATTCTAAAAATAAGCTTTTTTGACATGCTCACACTAGTTTTGACATTTATTTAATATCTGTTACACATGCAAATATGCAGCACACACAGACACACACACACACATGTGGAAGTCACCATTCTCAGTCCAATGAGCCATCGGGTAGAAACGCTTTTCATGCTTCTGAATAAAAAGAAAAGCAGATGTAGCCTACTCCAAAAATTAGTGCATAATTGTCTTTGTTCTCTTTGGTTGTTCTATACCACGATTAAAGGTTAGAGAAGAGCAACCTAGGGATGAAAACACTTGTGAATATGACTAGCAAATGAAATAAAGGCTTTTAAAGTGATTTTTGGAGAGCCATTGAATTAAAATTCATCTATTTGAATACTAAAGGATGCCCGTTTTTCATCTCGGCTGTTCAATGTTTGACATAAAAAGCAAAGGCGCATTGTACCCTCTTATCTGTTCCCCAGCCTTTTCTGCATTTTGACAAGACATTGTATTACACACGTACACGCGCAAGCACAGAAACGGCTGTGAAGAAGGCACATAAACATAATCACTTTGGCTGTGGTGAGCCACGTTTTTATAATGTTTTAACACATTTCATTTTTAATTTTATCATCCAATACCTCTGTAGCAGATTCCATTAAAGTAGCAGCTCAAACCTTTTACAGAAACCTCCAGAGACAGTGCCATCGCTGCTGGTTACCTAGGGGACCTGGCTTGTAAATGCTCGATATGACAGCCCGGGAGACAAATTCTATCAGTGCAGAACACAGCAGGACCCTGTGGGGGCCATGACACATGCAAAGGTCTCTCTCTCCTTCTCTTGCAGCCTCTAACCTCCCCTTCTCTTTCATAGTCGTACTACTCTCTTCTCACATCAACTCTTTCACTCCTCTTCTCCCAGCGTACTTGCATACCATCATTACTCCTTCTGCTTTGATCCATCTCTAAGGAGTCGGACTGCAGTCTGGAGTGTATGCAGAGGAGAGATATAGGAGCATGTGGGTGTGTGTTAGTGTGTGTCTCTGTGTTTGAGAGCACACTGAGGTGGCCTGTAAAGAGTGAGAGATCAGAGGGAGAGGTGAGAAGAAAGCAGGATTACGGCAAAGAGGAGGAGGAGAGTGAAACGGGTGAATGAGAAAGGGGTGGACAAGCTCAAAGGCAAAGGGGGAGGCATTGTGTGTAGACAGAGGAGGAGCAGAAGAGAAAGATGGGAGTCATGGCTCAATTTACCCCTGCTGATCCACTGTACAACAGACATCCACAAATTTCTCTATGCACTATAATCTCAAAACTTCTTATTTTCAATGTCGCTGGCTAAAGTCAAATCCCCAGCCTTCTCCACTTCCTCCTCCCTGCATTAACCATCCCTCAATCCCTAATTCTTCTTGCCTTCTTGCTTTTTCTCTCTCTATCTCCCTCCGTGTTTATCTCATCCCTCCTTCTTTTCCTCCTCACACACAAAAACACACATTTTATTTCTCTCTCTCACTCCCACTGTCTTCCTCTCTTAGCAGGGTCCTTGAAGACCTCTCTAAGCCAGGAGGAAGGAAAAGTACTTTTCTGCCTCATCAGCTTGCTAAGCCCAGTGTGGTGAAAGAACAGCTAAAGGCTCTTGAACCACCGATGCTAACAGCTAATGCTAATGTGCCCTTTGCAAAGCATGAAGGCCAGTGGGCTCAAGCTATGGGCTAATGATAATCATATTTTGTAGCATAAGCCTGTAATGCTATGAGCTATTTAGCGGTGGTATAATGACTGATCGCATCCGCAAATGTTAATGTAGATGACTAATGTCTAAATTAGATTCTCTGTGTACTGTACCACAGATGTAACCCTTTATTCAACTGATTTTCTGTAACCACTTGTCAAAAGAGTAAAATTCAGTAAAGCCTTAAATTTTAATATATGCTTGTTTTTACAAACAAAATCCTGCCTTATTTTGATAATCATACCAAGTCTTTAAAGACAATTTATACCAACTGGAAAAGATGCTGACTGCTTTCTTAAAAATTCAAGTGCAGCTTGCAGGCTTAAAGAAATAAAGAAAATAAAATTATTAATAAAATATTATTTGCTATAACCTTGGCTTGAATATTGTTTCCCCAATTATTTAGCTGACTGCCTGTGATAAAAGAAAGACAAAAAGAAACAAAACAAACTGTATTTCAGTATTTTTTTGTTTCAGAAAACAAAGATTTTTTCAGTTTGACGATGTGCACCATCACAAGACCCATACCCTGTTTGGCCATGAGATATTTAACTAACCACACAACTAAGTGAAACATTTTTTACATATGAGGTCTTAATCTTGGCTGTTAAGAGATACACAAGAATGAATGAAAACACGTATGCATAGCATCTGTATAGGGAGTGCCACGGGTTTCTCACCAGAACGGTTATTTGGAGATGTCCTGACAGGAGAGACCGAGGGAGTTCGCGAGGAAGAATAGGGCCTCTGCCGGTCTCTTTCTATTGTTGAGGCAGAGCCCACAAAGTGATACTGGGAGTAGCCATCCTGTAAAACAAAACAAGGAAGAAGCTTGTTATCACCTGTGATAAGTAACTGCACAAATACATAATCTTACTGTCATCAATTATTATAGCAATTACATATTTTAAAAACGAAGATTTTTTAAAATCATCCATCCATCAATCCACTTTCTGCCGCTTGTCTGGGTACAGGTTGCAGGGGCAGCAGCTTAGACTGCCAAGGAGGCATCCTAGCCAGATGTTACCTCAACTGGCTCCTTTCAGTAGCACCAGCTCTCTTTTGAGTCTCTAATGATGTCTGAGCTCATATCGTCACCCAAAGTAAGCCATTTTTGGTTGCCTACATCCACAAACTCCTTCTTTTGGTCATTACCCAGAGCTTGTGGCCTTAGGTGGGAACATAGATTGAGCGGTAAAGCTACAGCTTCACTCTCAAACTCAGCTCTCTCTTTATCACAGGAGACCTATGATGTCCGCACCAGTCTGTCAGATATTAGAATTATTAGATTTTTTTACTGATCAATCATCAAAACCTCCTATTACACGATACAATGTCACCATGTAAAAGACTGATCTTTTAGGAATATGTATTTTTGTAATGCACCAAAGAATGATGATCCATTAGTCTTAAACTCTGAAAGGCCCAAACAGATTTGCAGCTTCTAGTGGATGAAAGGATAAGAACTGTTATTAGAGTTAGCGATACAACAGCGCCAGTTTGATTACCACGCAGCAGGAAGTGGCACTTCAACAACGGCTATATGACACAGCATGTCTGAATTACATTTTTACTGATGTGCTTTAGAAATAAACCCCTCCATGTACTCATACAAGTAACACTTTAAAAGCACAGAGTGGTTTGAGGACTATATTTGTCATGGTCCTGGGTCGTTGACCCAGCGTTTTGCGTTTTTTCTGATCTGTATTAGTTAGGGTTAACCTGAAGTTTGGTGTATTGTCAGCCCTACCTGTGTCTGTCCTTGGTGCTCTGTTCATGTCCCCGTGTTGTGTTGTACATCAGTCTGTTTCCTGTTTTATTTTGAAGGCCATGTTCTGGATTTCCTGTTCTGTTGGGTCTGTGTCTGTTGTTATTGTGTTCAGCTTGTCTCCTCCGGTCCCCAGGTGTATTAGGTTCAGCTGTTCTTCCCTCCTGTGTGTGATTACCTGATTACCTTGTGTGTGTGTGTGTGTGTGTGTGTGTGTGTGTGTGTGTGTGTGTATATTTAGTGGGTGTCGGTCTGTGTTCGTTGTCGGCTCGTCTGCATTCATCCATGTATCACTGCGTTAATCTACATTCATCTGCGTTCTATGGTGTTCCTGTCTCTGCGTCTCTCTGCCCCGCACCCCTTTGTATGGTCCCAGGTTTGTCACTTAGTTTCTCCCAGTTTAGGTTTCCGTTTGTAATTACTCGTGCTTCATTGCCTGTTTTTGCCACTACCACCCTGTAAATAAAACGTCACTCGTATCATCAGTTTGCTGCATTTTGGGTCCTCCTTTTCCTCCACACCACACGGCTCCCTCCGCCAGCCGTGACAATATTAGGAGCAACGAGTAACAAGCGGAAGAAACACAAACTAACGTGACCACGATCCAGCGATCTAGCAGAAAGAAAAAGGGTCACACTGACTGTGAAATGTTCAAGAGAAAACAAGTTTGTTTTTTTGATATTTTTGACAGGCCAAAAAAAGAAAAATCAATAATTTGTGACTTGCTGAAATTGTTCAAATTGATTCACTAAAAGAAAAATCTCTGTAAATACATTTACAGAGCCAACTGTATTTAAATATTGTCCTTATTGAGATTATTATCGTGTAGTAGGTAATTGAAACATTATTCTGGACACTGGTGGACACTGACAAACACACTGCATGTACAAGTGAGCTTACAGCCATGCGCATGCAACAAATTAACACGCTTGCCTCAATTCTGAGCTTAGTAAATAACCCACTCCCTTCGTAGAAAAATTAATACAACTAACAACTCCAAGCATAATTACTGCCAAGCAAATGACTTTGTATCAGCATTAGTTTAGTAGTCATTGGAGCAAAGCCCTTTTCATAAAAATGGATTATGAGAGTCAACAACAATCACAGAGCTGGAACCAAATTCAATTTAGCATTAAGATAATTGGGTACCTCTAAAAGCAAAGCACAAGCAGATAATAAAAGATATCGGAGGCATGTTCCATCATAGCGTTACTGTCTGGGGGCCTAAGCTGAGCAGTGGGAAACTGGTGAAAAAGTGATGACTGAGAGTACATAGGAGAGGTGAATCACTCCAGTTGCAATGATGCTGGAGAGGAGGACACGGAGAGGAGGAGAATGAGAGACGAAGGAGATGGGGCAGAAAGAGAAGAAGGTGAGATAGACAGAGGACTAGCTGAGGGAGACAAAAGATGGCAAAAAGTAATGAGCGAGGAGGAGGAGGAGGTGGGAGATTGCCAGAGAGAGTAATGACAGCAGAGCAAAGATAGCGTGAGGAGGGGAGAGGTAACACGGAGGAGAGGTACGGATGGAGAAGTACAGACACCAGCCAGAGAAAGCAAGAACTAGACTGGATTGAACGCAGTCCCATGTCCTCCCTTGACTCTCATTTCCTGGCAGAGTGCTGAGAACTAATAGAAAGCTGGATCCTCTGACACACAGCAGTTCAAAGGTAGCTCATTTCTAGTTTCCACCATTCCTCCCACCCTCATATTCACTTCATCTATTTATCCACCATCCCTTCAGTATTCTCACTCACCTTGTTTCACATTCACGTTGCACCTTCCCACCTCCCCCCATCCCAACAAATCTCATTACATCCAATGTTACCTCCTTATGGTACATTGGAATGCCTGCTGTCAAACTGTCATGCTGCTCAAATGAACAGAGTCACTGAATATTGAACGATAAATGTATTTTACAGAGTGATGTACAAAGTGCTGCCTGGAGATGTAGCTCAGAAATGGGGCCCAGGAATGATTGGGGCAGGGGGTGGTGGCTTAAGGGCTTCCCCAAACAAAATGAGCCATAGTCAAACTTTACAACAATGACTGAAATCAGAGATAAAGAATATAACATATACAAAAATGTATGGGTGTATTCACATTTGGTGTCTTTCTACATAGAGTAATAACTTTATATTTTGCCATAATTTTATTCCACTCGTTCCCTTAAGAGTAAAAGATTAAATCATTATTTTCTGCACTGACTTTACTTTATATTCTGTATGAACCTCTTCAAGCTTTTCATTGACTTTCGAATATTTATGGTCTGAAATAGTCAGACTCGCAATTCTCCTTATATAAGGCAGACAAATTCGATACTTTGTAAGAAGAATTTCATATGTAAATAAATAAAAAAATTCTGTGATTTTTTTTATTATCGATTGGTAGAGGATTAGTTTGTGCTGTGTATAACCAATAAATATTAAACCCAGATTAAAATTTAATCAAGGACCAAATCACACAGTGTCTGAAGGTCTGGACGGTATTTATTCTGTACCCTGTATCCATGGTCCAGCGTTTGTTTCGTGTCAGCGTGTGCTGTGAAACTTCACACTTACATTCACATTTATCATTCCTGGTCTTTCTGGCTCTCACCTATTCTCCTCAACATACCTGTTTTTTCTTCTCTTTTCCACCCACCTTGTCTTTCTCTCTCACAAGCTCTATACTCCAAGCACCCCTTTTCAACTCCTACTGTAAGAATGAGAGGAGAAAAAAAAAAGAGGATTGGTTGCCAGGCAACCGGTCTGCCTGTTGCTCTCAGCATCACTGGATGGTTAGCTGAAGGTCGCAGGACTGAGAGGTAAAAAGTGATTATTGCCCCAACAAATGAAGAGAGTGTGCGCGTGGGTATGGCGGCACTTTGTGAAATTGTAAAACGTTACACACGACGAGTGGAGGGGGCCTCCGGTCACATCAACCACTGAACATTTTCAGTCCTTTAATCCATGCCTCTTTCTCACTCATTTCAAGCTCCAATTTTAATATTTGCAATTATCACCACCTCCCTCTTGAGCCATCTGTCCTCTCAGGAGCAATGTGCCCCTCGACCTTTGCATCCCTCATACTGGTTACTGGTGGTGTTGCTGATTTAGCAGCTGACCTTTATACTATGGTTGCATTGATTGCAAAGAGCCCAGAATGTTGCGAGTGCTGCAACTCTGCCTCCCTATCTTCCCAAAATACTGTTGTTAGGCTGTCTGAGGGTAAAGGCTATCTTAACATCCCTCCATCTCCTTTCTGTGTTTCTCTCCCTGTCTGTGTCTGACTGTGGGAAAAATCAGATGAAACAGAGTCAGCTTCTGAGGCCTGAGCTTGATTGATATTCAATGATGTTTTTAAATATCCACCTCCTTCTCTCTGTCTTTCTCAGTTGTGTAGTTGATCTTTCCACAAGTATAGCAGTGGATGATTTCATTTTTTCAAAATAAAAGTAGTGGAGTGGAACCCTTAGAGCTCTCTATCAGATTAATTCATTTTATTTGCAGTAACATCCTGAACATTCGGGGCTCACTGATCATGCACAAGACTAGGCTGAGCAATCACTGACCTTACACACACACACACACACACACACACTTCATTTACATCACTTCTCACTTACGTCACATCACATCCACATAGTGAATTACACATCCCCGGAGCATATTGTAAAACTGTCACACGTGTAACAAACACAGCATCTCTCTGACCCTGAACTCAATCTGTCAAACATGTGTGCATCTGCCTTGGTGATTTGTGCGTGTTTGCGATATTTATATGTGATATGTGGGCATGCCTGTGTGTGTGTGTGTGTGTGTGTGTGGGAGAGAGAGAGAGAGAACATGTCTGATTAAGTACCCTAGACAGATCATTTATCAAGAAATGAGGCACAGCAACCCAGCAGAAGTTATGCACTGAACAGGGACATAACAAAGCGTAACAGTGTGAATATGAAATTTAGAATTTACCTTGTGTGTCTGTGTGTCTTTGTGCCAGAAACAGAAGGGTGTATATGTTTGTGTAAATGAGTCAGAATTTGATCTCTCCGGTCCTAT